CGTTTTTTTCTTATCTGCTAAGTTGTGAGTCTGGGATGGACTCGTGTGGATACAAAGCCAGTGGTTATCATGACAAAAAGTTTGGGTTTTGTGCTAAAGCAAAGCAGCAAATACTTTACTGATTCGTTTTGATTTTCTTTCTGTCACATTAAAACAGAATGGGATGGGTAACATTTTCCAAAACCTCATTTGGTCAATGACAAAACAACCACCGACGTTATAATGACCAACAACAAACAACCATCCCATAAAGTGATAGTTTTGTCCATTTTACTTGCACTAGAAAAACATATTAGCACTCAGAAAAATAATTCACAAGTAATTGTAGTTTGTCTGACTTACTTTTTTTATGTTTGTTTAATAAATTTTATAAATTAACTTGGATAAACTTAATTTTCTTACTTGCTGGCACTAAACTTCACCAATCAGCAGTCCTTATCAGTCCAGTACTGTGGGTTTTCCAGCCACATAATATCACTTTATAGTGCAATCAAGTGGCTGTTACTGTCAGTTGTTGTAGAAATGCTCTCTGTATAAAATGACTTCAAAAAAATTTGACTTCATAATTTAGCGCCCTCAAATTGGAACTCTATCTCTTTCAAAAGTCTTTCTCTTTATGAAACTTTGCTGTCAGGAAGTCATCACATCGCTCCTCTTTCAATATTTTTTTCACCGGTGTTGCACTAACAAGTAGCTCTTACTGTGAGCTCAGCTGATGCACAGTTCCACCAGGTGATTGCTAACTGCTGCTGGCTAGTCTGAAGGAGCCGAGTGGAGGCGTTGCTGGGGGAGGGGCTGCTTTTCAATCTGGAAGTGTGTAAGTTTAGAAACTGCAGTTCTGAGGCGGAACTACGTCCTTGAAGGAGGAGCTAAGTCCACCCAGGCATTTTGCTAAGTCCATCTAGCTGAACGGTTGCCATGGGAGAGTCAAAGATTTTTTTCAAACATGAATGGAAGAATCAAAGCAACATGCCAGCTATGTTTTCGATTGGAGAATAACGTTATGACACGTTGTAAATCTCAAAAATGTCAATTTCACACAACACTGCCCCTCAAACAGACTGCGCTTTATAAAAATGTAAATCGTGTAACTCGCTGACTTTGCTTTTTTAAACTCGCACTGAAACTTTTCTTGTACAATGGTGCCTGGCGGTTCGTGCTTTAGGCCTGGTGGCAGGCAATAGAGCCTATAAGTCGCTTCCGCTCCTACATAATTCCCTGACTTTACATCGACAGTCTCTAGTGTCTAAAACCCGTCGCTGGTTCCTGTTGGACGATCCCAATACAATCGTCTAATTCTCTGCAGGAAATGGAAGGAGCCTGTGCGGGAGCTGTTGCTCCTTTAAGTTCATACGGGAATCAAACGGATTCAAAATGTTGGGTCTTCGAAACGATCAAAGTGGGGCGAGCGAGAAAATGTCCGTACGGATGAATCACGGCGCTTTTCATTAGCTCCTCGCTCGAACTGTCAGCTCATCAAAAGCGTCTCCCGGTGCATGCTGGGACAGCCGCCACCGTCCCGACCGCCTCCAAAAAAGGAAAAACGGGATTAGACAGGTGGAGAGAATGCAATATTGAATCCGCTGTCTCAGTCATCAAAACCTAAAGATTGCGCTTTTTGGAAAACACTTCACCGTCTCTGTCTGACGAGCCAGTAAATGAAAGGCCCTTCACAACGAATTACCGTGATTGCTCGGATGCTCCGTGATATTGACTGCGTTTTGGTTGGGGTTGTTTTTTTCTTGTTTTGTTTTATTTTTCCCACAAGCGGCTGTGGGTTGATGCTCCGCTTATTTTTAAGACAACAGACAAGCACAATGGATAATTTATCACACCGACGAATAAGCCTTGCAAGCTGGTGAATTAAGGAAGAAATAAATGCAGCTGGAATAACTGATAGTGCTTTTTTACAACAGCTTCTAAATAGAGATGGAAATAAAAATAAAATCAAATCTGTTTGCACATCATCTTAAAGAAAGTGTAATCATCTATGAACCAATCAACACCTGGCTTTCACTTCATGTGCCTGACCTTGCAGGACTCGTTACCATGGAAATGTTTTCTCTCCGTGGCAGAGCTCAGCTTTGTTACAGAGACCTGTGTGTGTGTGTGTGTGTGGGGGGGGGGGGGTGATGAATGGCACACACACACAGCCAGTTTTTCATGTCTTTCTCCCAGCAGGGCTCCCTGGAAATAGTCTCATCCTGCCCTTTACGGCTTCTCATACTGTGTCCAAATAACAAATATGTGGGGAGTGATGAAGCAGTGGCGCAAACATTACCAAAACACTGGCAGACGCGTTCTGCCTGGCAGCAAATGTGACTTTCCTTGCGCAGATTGTTAAAAAATAAGGCATAAATGGCTTTTTGTTTCTCTTTCGTTTGTGGCCGGATGTGACGGACGGCATTAATGATGCGTTTTTGGATGTACTTACTGGGTGCATGTCAGCAATACAGTGACATTTAAAAAAAAAAAAAAAACCTAATAATAATAAAAGCAGGACACCACACTGCAGTCTGTTTTTCTAATAAATTTGGACATGTGGATATTTTTTTGTTTCCCCCACAATGCTGAGAAATTCAAGTAAAACTAGAACTGCAAGCAGTTGTCAAAGGGTCTCAAACCTGACTCAGACGATTCCATGAGTGTAGAAATCTAAAAATTCAATATAGAAGCTTATGTGTTTGTTTTCAATATGACTAATTAAATATTTGAAATATGCCTTCATGAATTGCATACAATTTAACAATAACTCGACAAGAAAAGTTAAAGAATGCTCAATCGACGGTCACCCTCCACGTTTGCCCGTTTTCCCGGAATAAACTGAATGATGATTTTTTTTTTTTTCAAATGCAGTTTTGGTTACGGAGACTTTTTGTTCTTGTTGTTTTTTTTGTTTATGTTGGATATTTAAAAGTTCCAGTATAAATTGTTCGTTAGACATTCAAGTTTTTTTGCTTTTAACCTTTGAGTGGATAAACCTGCATCAATAATCTACTATTATTATGATATTGGTTGATAGATGATATTATCAAGATGACAGTGTCATTTATATTGACATAAAATGTATTGGTGAAATAAAGACAGGCAGCAATGGGCACATGAACGCCTGCGTCATTTATGTGCAACATACCGTAGTGCCTCGTCCCAGACTTCTGAAATGCCAATGAATATATCCAGCAATTTTGACCATAAGAATGTTATTACCAATAAAAAACTATTTTATCGAAAAGTCAAGCGGACAAAGTAGATTTTCTCTCATTATTGTTTTCCATGTTCTTTACTTCTCATGTGCCTATTTTGTGTATTGGGATTGCACGTTGGTTTATTCCCACTTAAAATGACTGGTGAAGTCCGTCGCCTTGGGTCCACATGATGAGAGCCTCATTACTCAGCATCTTGAAGAAGGGTTAGCCGAGCCGTGCTCCCGACTGTAAAGTGGGAGTGAAAATCACGGTGATCTCAAAAGACATTCTGGAGCCACTTTTGTGTCTGCTGAGGGGGTTTTAAAGTGGTCTCAGCTGAACTGTTAATCTACCACTTCATTATACAGAAAAAGTCTTCAGAGGGAGGACATTGAAAATTGTGTTTGAAAGAACCAGGTCTGGCCACCCAGTCCAAATCGAGTCTCCGGAAACAATAAAATGTCATAATAATAAAGAAAAAAACATGACCTGCGTGTGACAGGGCTGCATTGATAACCAATTTGTGAGTGTTGTGTTTTTTAATGCAACACAAATTACTGACGTTCAAACTATCTGTCTAATTCATTCCACAAATTTAGCCTTTATGTTTCTCATATTAGGTCTGTTACAAACACTTAAAGGTTGTCGATCCCTGTTCCCTGTCGATCTCCACAATAAAAATGACATCAAAAATCAGATTTCTTTATTGCATTTCTTTAATTTGAGCAATGCAACAAAACACAACACATTAATATTGTAGCGGAAGGTAAACCTAAAGCAGCATCGTACAACAAAGTCACGGTGTGGGTCATTCCATACATTTAATCATGAAGGCTAATTATGTATACACTTGATAATACGCAAATTAAAACACTGTTTGGCCTTCGATATAAACCTTATATAAGGTTTTAAATTTTCCAGACAGATTTGGTTTTTTTGGTCCAAAATGGCTCTTCCAACATGATGGCGACCCCTGACCTAGGATCTCTTGTATATACCCTCTTAATGCTGTTTGAAATCGGTTTGAAGAGAAAATCTCTAAATCTTTTGCTATGTTTTTTTTCCCCCTCCATGCAACAAAAACTCAAGGGTGGCCTTCAATTGTCATCTATCAACACAAAGATGCTTCTGTTTCCATTCGGTTTGCTCGCTCTCCTCATTTTTTGGGCGAGGTTTTGAGTCAACTCTAACAGTCTTTTTTATCCATTTCCTTTCTGATCTTCTGTAAATAATTAAATTGGGCAGAAAAAAGAGACATTTTCTTTATGACCAACTCTTAAAAAAGTCAGAAAATGTGTTTTGGGACAACTTTGCGCTACATAAATCTGGCCGTTATGCAAGAAGAAACCCACTGTTGGAAGAAAGCAGACAGAGGTTCATCGAGAAGTGGAAGAGGTCAGACATGAGCAAAATGTAACAAAAAAATAAATTAAAAAAAGAAATAAAAGTGCACAAAAACCACAAACACATCACCTCCATGGAGGGAAATTGTGTCCTTCTGCAGAAACAGGTCGGCTGATTACCAGTGATAGAAGCATTATTTTAATGAATTATGAAGGGCAGCTGAAAATATGCCCGCCACACTTTTCAGGTTTTTCTTTTCTAAAATAAATTTTAACACCGTGTATGTTTCTTCCCCCTGCCCCAAGTTTGGACATTGTCAGTAAAATACATTAGAGTTGTCGAAACATGAACAAATTTAAAGAATGTGAAAATTTTAACTGAATCTTAATTTCTTGAAAAAAAACCCTAAATAAAACAGTCAATATGCGCCTCCTCAACGCAGTTCTCCTTCCCTCTCCGCGCATGCTCAGTATCTTGACTCAGCTTGGCCATCAAGCGGTCAGACGACAGATGGACGCCCAGTAAGAGAAGCGGTCCGCTCCGGCTCGGAGAGGTAAGACCGAGCCCACCCGGCTTCCTCCTGGCGGTCCCCGCGGCCTGTCGGAGCGCACTGGGTGGCCGGAGATGAAACACCGGCGGAAGGGTGGCGAGGCTGCGCGCTTCGCGGTGACTCGCTAGCAGCGGTTAGCTAGCTGCGAGGCGTTCAAGTGACCGCAGGACGGCTCGTTCCTGGCGGCTCCGGGAGGTGTGGGGGGTCGCGTGAGCGTCTGAGCCGCAGCTCGACTTTCTGTCATGGGAAGCATCCGCCGAATTTGAAAGCTGGGCCAACAAAGTCTGGCGTCTCCGAACAGTTTCGGGTTCAGTTTGCCTTTCGGTGTGTCTGGAGCGAAGTTTTCAGCACGACGGACAGTTCCGGGCCGAAATCCTAAAGGAATGCGGCTCAGTTCCTTTTCTCACAGCCGTGGGATGTTCAGGTGATAAACAGCGAGATAACAGTTAGCAGCGCCCCTCCGCTGTTTACTCATTAGGATTGTATAGCGGCTTGCAAAGTTAAACTTTTCCACATCCTTTTACTTCACGGCCACAAACGTTTTTGTCCCTAGTAGTGCTCTGTATTGAACCCCACCAACTCTCTCCAGTCGGTGTTGAAGAAAGCATCCCCGCACCATGATGCTGCCATCACCATGTTTCGCAGCTGGGCAGATGTTCTGGATGATGTGCCGCTTTTAGTATATGCTAAAAATGTTTTAAAAGTAAATGTTTTAAAAAAGCTCCAAACACTGATACAAGACTGTAGTTTTTTGTGGCTCGCTCTTTTTCCATTTAAACAAACAAAAAACTGAGTGATTTACTTTCTTTTACTAAACATTTTGTCATTTAAGAATAAAAATCAAACATAGAAATAGAACAAGTAAGCAGGTTCCTCCAGTTTTGGACATATTATGGCGAAATCTCTTATTTTTTTTTTACCATTTTAGTTGTGAAACAGCACCCTACTGACAGGTGAACCTCTAACCAGGTACAGTCTTTCATTAGATCCTCTGCTCCAAAGCAAACTGGTCAATGAAGACTCCACACAGCCACTCAGAAATGGGTGAATCATCTGTGGGTGGTGAGAGAGGGAACCTCAGGCCAATAGTAGCTTTCAGACATTGGCATGCAAAAGCGGCTGATGATGACGATGAGTTCACAGGTCACAGTGCATGACGCGTCTCTGCTGGGATACAGGAACAACCAACTCTTACTTTGCTTGTGTTGTTGCTGTGGTGTAAACGCAGACGTCAGTGTTTGTTTGGCTGGATTTGATGTGACGATCCAATGGAAACTGTGAGGTTGGAAATGACATCATATTTTTTTTCAAAATACCCTGTCAATAATCACGGTGGTAGCAGCATCATCTGGTGGGGGCGGGGGTGCTTTTCTTTATCGGGGAAAATGGACGGAGCTAAACGCAAATCAATACAAGAAGGAAACTTCTAAAAGACTAAAGAAAGGGCCGGAGTTTCTCCTGCTAATGAAATGGTGACCTTTGACAGTTAAATAGAATAGTTTAAAAGAAGAAGGAAACCTTGTCAAAGTTTTGTTCCCAGTCTTGAAAACTCTTGAGCTATATCTTTATTTTTTTTTTTGCAAAACATTACAGGGAAACCTTGTAGAACCACCAGCTGTGATTGCAACACAAAGGTACTTTGAATTGAGGTGAATTTGCACAGCTAAACATGTCACAATAGACAGCTAATCAGTAAATCAATTAATCGCATAATAAATTCAAATGAGCTCGATAATTTCCATTTTGATGATGAATACTTATTTGAATGGCAATTTTCTTCATGGAATTACGCACATTATTTATGGCTTTGGTTGTGTGTGGCATTCAGTTCCATTTTATTTCTTGTTTTCAGGTTGGTGCGTTTTATTTTCAATATTTAAAATACCTTCCGGTTCCAGTGTGGTGTGTTCTTTACAAAATGAAAGTCTGCTGTTTCTTTGATGGGGTGAACTTGCATTGATATGCCATTGTGGACTGTTATTTGAAAATGGTCTCAAAAAACAACAATACCATCGTTTGTCGCAGTAACTGCTGGGGCAGTTTATCGTCCGGATACAACATGCACCTGTTTACTCTTTGTTCTTACTCTAGCTAAAGACGTGAGCAATGGCGCTGTGCCCTGACGGTTGTACATCCGGATCAGGAGGAGAATCTTCCAGCAGTGAGGTGAGCTTTCGATTGATTATCGATCGAGATAGATAGATTACAACTGAGAACAATCGACTGGAATTGCATTTGGCGTATTGAATATTTCTGCTCCCATACTCCAACCAAGTCTGTCTGTGTAGAGTTTGGTTTCTTCGTATAGTTCAAATCATATCCAATTCACTTCAACAATACTTTGCTGATCCCAAAGGGAAATTAAATGTTGTTGGAACTCATTTAATTAAACCGTTATAGTAGACACTGACGACTGTAAGAATAAAAGATTTCCCATAGCAGTCTGAATTACAGCAAAATTTGAAGAAGCTTCTGACTGAAGACAGGCTTTGTACAGTTTCCATTAAATTTGGCATAAAAATGGCAACAGTTCAGAAGTAAAGCATCACATGGGCAGTTTGTCATGTCGCGTACTGCAGTCACTCTGGTCATGATGCTGTTCCAGGCCGGTTCCAGCTGTCTTCAGTTTGGGGTTCGCTCCTATCTGCATCACTTCTATGAGGAGTGTTCGTCCTCCATGTGGGACAGGGACCCAGAGAACCGGGGATCAGCCCACAGCCACAGATCCGCCCTGTGGTGGAACTCCGCTGTCTGGAAGGTAAACTCACTGAGCTCTGCTAAACGTAGCCTTCTATGGAAGCCCTGAAAGACCACATTTTACTTTGTTCTTGACTTGATTGATTAAACTGTTTGAATGTTTTTTTGTTGTTTTCTTCCCCCTTTTTGTGTAATATTTATTTCCTAATGTGGAGAATTAAAAATATTATTCTCCACTTTAGGAGAATTATAAAAAAAAATTGACCACATTTGGTAAATTTTTGCCTGGGCAAAATTGGACAAAACCTGTTGGGGGGTTTTTTTGCTATAGAATTTAAAGAAAAATATATATATGTTTATATATATATATTTTATAAGGAGAAAAACATAACTGGTCAAACTATGCAAATCAAAGTTACCTTCTGTTATCGCCTGCTACCTCTTATTGCCTTGTAGCTGTTAGCGCCTATTTGCTGGTAGCGTCTGTGAACTGTAATCTTCTGCTAGCTGTTATCTTGTGCTAACTGTTCTCGAGCCTAAGAGATTGTGTACTCTGTGCCTTTTCTCGTCATGAGAGACTCTCGACATGTTGAATGAGCCTGTGGTATTTGTATCATCCAGGGGAGTCCATGCAGACTCCCTGCTTTATTTTTCCCTCTCTAATATGGTTAACCTTTCATAATAAGAGCCTGGGAGCTCCATGCAGATAGCACAACCTATAGAAATGACCTCTTCAGCTCTTTTTGTGTATTTGCTGACTACAGGTGTCCTTGGCTCTGGGTCTGCTGATGCTGACGGCAGGTGTTGTGTCTCTCTCTGTCGCTTACTCCGCCCCCCACAAAATCGAGTCCTTCGGTGAGGGAGACCTGTTCTTCGTGGACCCGCAGGCCATCAGCTACAACAGGGGTCTGTACTTCAACACGGCGTCCGGGATCGGGCTGTCGTGCCTGGGCTCCGCGCTGGCTGTGATGGGGGTGGTTGTCTGGGTCCTGCCCAAGGCCAACCTAAAAGAGCGGCTGTTCCACCGGTCGAGGGAAGCGGCTCAGCGGGGGGAGCCGGGCTCGAAGTGGAGGGGATTCAGGGATGGACCGGATGTGATAACTAAGCCGCCAGATACAGGAGAGGCGAAGATGCCTTTTATTCTGGCTAAAGTGAAAAACGTGCAACCCGCTTCCTAGAAAGAGGCACAGTATCTGATTCTGAACCCTTGTTTACATCGCTTCCCTGTCGTTTCTGATCTGATTTTGTTCTGTGAAGTGAATGTTTGTGACTCAAAAGATCAGAAAAACAGTTCCGCCCACTATAGACTCACACATCCTGGGTAGTGCGTTCACATTTTAAGAAGAAAAAAAAGTCTCCCTTCAAAACACATCAAACTTTTTACATTTTATATATGGAGTCCCTAATTTGGACTAAAAAATGACTTTTTTTTTCTTTTTTATTACTGAAGTTCTTCTAAAAATAACAATCAATTTCTTAAGATTTCCTTCAAATGTTGTTTTTTTTTTTTAACAAAACTTTAACCCATAAGTGGGTTACTTTATGAGTCCTAAAGAACATTAGAGCCATTAGAGTTCTGATCATTAGAAATAATCACAACAGCTTAACTCTAACAAAAATGAGACCCAGAGAAAGAAATGACCCAGTTAACGTGAAGCAGCAGAAAAACAGCTATTGACTGTGGGATGTAATTTGTTCAGCACACAACGGTCATAATTATAATATACATACGGTAACATACCAGATTGTTGAGTGCATACTCTATTGACTGATCAAACACAATAAAGGTATTGGTACAATGCAATTTTATCTTCTGAACAGAGAGTTTGCCCTACCTGAGATAATGTTTAACTACCACAAACAGTATTCACAACAGATGTATTCCTGCAGTTTAAAGAACATGTATGCCACCATACTTGGAAATTTTTTTTTTTGTTTTGTTTTTTTCGTACTTGTAGCTCATGATAGTTTCATTGATAGCACCACCTGTGAGACAAAAAGATTGAGCACAAGAACTGAGACGTCAGCTTTGAACGCAGAAGTCACCTCGATGAAAGGATGAATAGAAAAGTGCTAAATAGAAACTAAAAGTGTGTCAGGAAACAGATGGATGTTTTAATTTCTGCTCCAGTTCAGTGGTGCTCACATTTCCACTAATCTGCTGATAGCGGTGCTGATTTTCAGCTCTGCGGTTTAGTAGTTTTGCTGGCTTGAAAATGTTTAGCGCATTTACCTTCCCCTAAGTAAATTTTTCCAGATAAATCTCAAATTGATTATTTACTGGACTATTTTGTAAACTTTCAGTTAAATTAAGTTGAACTTCTTTGTTGAAGTTTTGGTTACCCACACTTCATTCATGCTCTTATTTTGAAGTGGGTGAAAGGTGTTTAATCTGCAGCTATGTTTCTTTTCTTCACATGCTCTTTTTTTTTCTCTCCCTCATAGGAATTTTCTTTAAAGTAAAAAACACATGAACAAAATAAAACTGACAGTAGAGTTCAAGATATTAGCATAAAAACTATAAGTAAGGGCATTATACAGTGGTGTAAAAAAACATGTGTCCGCTTTTTCATTTTATTTGTTTGTGCGAACAAATATTTATGATTATTGCTTTAATGTTAGGGCGATTAGTTCATTGGAGACATGGTCAGAAGTGTAAGAGTGTTTTGACTACACGCTAAAATCACAGCACCATCTAGTGGCCTGGCATGACAACTACAGCTGACGCAGGGTGTCTTTGCGGCGGCATCTAAACATGGAACTTTTTTCCCAATCAACATCTGGAAATACCGGCAGTTTCCAGACTGCGGTCTCATGTGAACGTAACCTGAGTCACATGGTCGGTACAGTCAAACAGTCTCCTTCATTTGGCTCCTGCACTGAATAAAAGTAATTGCATCTGGCACATTTTGTCATGAGTAAGAGTCAGATGGAACATTTTAAGAGACAAGTTGTTTTCTGTTTGATTAATGAGATTTGCTGTTATGACCTGACGGACAGAAAAATTAAAATCCCACAATGAAAGAGCATATTTTCCTACTCGACGTACTTTGTGTCTCCAAAGCCAAAACCTGTCATCACCTCAGTCGTTTAGCTGCCGAATCCCTGCTCGAGAAATCTGCCTCGCCTCTGACACAAACCACGTTGAACATCATCACTTATACATTTGGGATGTTCCTTATCATTCCAGATGTTTCGATAATCCTGTCAAAAAGAGAAACTGTTTTTGCTGAATGAGAAAAAATGAAATCCAGCCTCCTCAGCTACCTATTCTTAAGAAGCTCAAACACTTTCTACTGCACAGATAGAAGCAGAGAGTGCTTACTCCGTCCTTTCCTGCCGTTTCACTAAGCAGCTTCAGATTCATTTGATGTAATACCTTTGGAAAGGTCTTTTCCTCAAACACATTTCACTTTAACCAAAGCAGGCAGTCGCGCTCTCCGATCCCAGACGAGATGCCATCGCTCGTATACGCTCTCTGTTTTAGACAGATAAGACTCCGAAGGCAATTGTGAGGGGTTTTTTTCTTTTTTGTTTTGTAACTTAAAATATATTTGTCATCCAAAATGCTCCCATTTTAACGGGTAACATAAGTTGTTTTCATGGTAAAGAAGTGGAAATCTTTTTGCAGCTGTCAAGAAATATGCCTGATTTAAAAAATGTTAGCAGACACAAAGTGAGTTAACTTTAACCCACAGCAGCATATTTTTAACATCCAAGAAATCCACAACCAGACCGCTATTGCAGGTCACTATGGCGACCTTGCAAATTGCACTAATTGGTTATAAGTTTTACACAGTTCAAATCATTCGTCTCTGTAATTGTTTTGTCTTTATTTCGTTAGAATTACATCCTAATTGACTGGATAGTTGCATGGAGCACGGCAGCTGTTTACTGCCACGTTCAAATTGACTGATAAGATTTAAAAGACATCGAAAGTCACATTTTCAGTCAATCTGGGAGTTACAAATCTTTTCCAGCATTTTGTGATGTTTTATTTCATTTTTTTGAGAGAAATCTGAATTCATTCGACAGATCAAAGCTGCACAAAACAAGGAGTCTCATTTGGAGACTCCTTGTTGGTGATTGGTGGATATTTTGCATCACATCACCTCTTGTCCTTACAAAGTCTTATAGTTAGGTAAGAATTATCCAAGATGGAAAAAAAAAAGAACGTATGACGATTTGACTTGATTTCTTAACAAAAACTACATCAAATTGAAAACGTTACCAGAAAAACTAAAACTAATCTTACTGGCTCTGCCTTGAACTAATCATTCCCCTCAATAACCTTATCAGTCTGCCTTACATTTATACTTTTTCCACCAACGTGCTTCTAGTTTAATGAAGATTTCATGAATTTGTTTCAGTGTCGCTCTTTTAACAGCAGCATTTCATTCCACTTCAGTTTTGGGGGTGGCGGCTGGCTTTTGATTTTTCTTTGCTTCAAGAGCTTGGCCGTAGATATCCTGTTGTTTTCAATCACTCTCCAGTGATGCGGAGGATTCAGTGGATTTTACTGAGCAGCAATATCTCCATCCTGACTAAACGACTTGGTTTCATAAGCTTAGTGGTTATTCAGGCAGTTGTTTTGATTTGTTTTAATTTAGAAAACAGCAGAAACATGTTTCTACACGTGAACTTACTTCAAATCTCCTTTGAACTGAGGTTTTGTTTAATGACGCTCTGTAATGTCCCATGTTCTTTTGTCAACCTAAGATTTGGAGATTATTTTATTATCTGTAATTTTTTGTGTGTGTTTTTCCATATATTGTTGGATATGAAATGGAAAACTTAGAAAAGGCCAGACTTTTTAAAAATATATATTTTTTAAAATTAGATTGGATTTCTTTGAGAATTTAGCACTTTTGTTTTTTTTTTTATTTTGTGAGATATCAAACATTATTTTAAAATAATAACTATGACTTCCACATCTGCTACACAGAGGACCCTGTGTGAGACCCTCATCGGTGCGGTGACACGCAGACGGAGGCTCTGGATAAAAAAATATTCATTAACCAACCGGTTTTACATTTTCACACATCTGCGCTAATGTTCAGTTTTACTGTATGAAACACATGTAGAGTCAGGCATGCTGCCACTCACCCAGTCGCCCCCACACACACTGTAATTTGTAGTCTTTTGACAGTACCACCTATTTTCTCCCCACTGTAATCTGTTGCTGTAATTGCCTGTAATCTGTGTATCTAGGCAACAGTTGGGCTTCAAGTGCTCTATTTTGAACTCAGAACAAAATCTCTCTCCTCATTGGTCCTTCACACCCGCCATCTCTCTTTATCCTCACGTGAATCAGATTTGTTGTTTTCAGGTGAAAACAGTCGTAGCGGTGAGGTAAACCACCTGTCCTGTTGGGTCCTTCCTGTTCGCTGGGAGTTGATGGTTAAAAACTATAAATGGTGAGACCGCCGAAGTGTCGGGATATGCTGCAGTTGTTCAGGTGAAAGGGACCATGTTTCATCGTTTGCCTTTTTATTGTTTTCCAGAAATAAAACTGGGGTTAGCAACAGCAGTGAAAAGCAAAGAACCAAAAATAAAATTGTATTCTGCATACCAAGTATTTCTGTCATTCTTTTGAGTTAAAAAAAAAAAGAAGAATGAGATGTACAGAGACTTGCAAAAATATATCCCACCACCTGTTTTTTTATTTTATTTATTTATTTAATTAATTTTTTTGCCACATTGTTACCAGGAATGTACCGATTCACTTTTTTCACTTCCGATACCGATATCTCAGATTTAGCATCAGCCGATACCGATCTGATACAGAAAAGCAGTGCTGAATTGACTTAAAACAGAATACAGAAATGCACCACTCATCAAAAAACAACCAATCAGAGCCAGGAGAACAGTCCTAGCGCTGGCAGTCATGCTCATGTACATGCTTCTCACACCCTCATACTTGCTCTTTTCTAAGCTACAGCTAATGCTAGCTAACATAGCCACTGATGACGGCAGAAAAAACGGTTTTCCTGTAATAAGTTTCTCCTGATTTTCTTTTCCCGCTCAGCTCATGCCTTCCCCTCATACTTGCTCTCTTTTCCAGCTATAACTGAGCCACGACAGAAACGGCTGTAAAAATTTTTTTAACAAAGAAAAAAAAAAAAACATTTTTCTCAAAGTTACATTGCCTTGTATTTATCTTTAAGGACGGTAAATACAAGGCAACTGCGTACATTAAAATGCAGAATCTTGCTACAAAGACTAAGCCAGACATGCACAGTGAGACCTTCGTACAGACCTGGGGTCAAATCAGGATAGTAACTGGTGGGATGCTGCAGCTCAGCAGAGCAGAGTAACTAAAAGGTTGTGGCATTCAATGGTCTATGTTTACATCTAAGCGTTAATAGTATTGTAGATTTCCCAAACGTTGGTGGTTTTGTTTTGTTTTTTCAAATCAAACTATGCTTAAACTTCATGCCAAGTTTTCAAATAAAAAAAAATTAATTTAAAGATATCCAATTTTAATGCTGCAATCTATCACACCTACCTCAAAAAAATTTAGTTCTGAAATCATGATTTCCCCCTCCCACTTTGTTTCAGGAAAAATGCACACAAATTTGTTTTGATTTGTTTTTTGTCGACCCATTCAGACTTCGTCCAAATATGTAGCCATAAAGAACCAAAACTCCAATGTGTTTTGATTTGACGCAAGTTAAAAATTGAGGTTTGGTTGGTATTTAAAACAAATTATTAAAATTATTATGGTTTAACGCTTTTTTAAGGGTTTTTATGGGAGTTTTGCCATCTCTGTAAACATTGATTAGCTAAACTGACGATTTTAAGCACCAAGTTCCATCAGTCAAACTTTAGGCTGTTTGAACTATATCAATTCAAACTGGAGTGGGTGAGCTATATCCTTTGTTTTCTTTTACTTACACAACCGGTAAGAATCAGCAAGATGTAAAACATTAAACATCAATGCTACAAATACTGTATGCAAAGTGTTTCTGTATAACGTGGTTGTGAGGTAAGTGTGTGTGTTTATGAGCTGCTATATGCCTGGGTTGAGTACATTCTGCTGCTTTAACGGGATGACTCACACTCTTGGATGTGAGTCATCCCGTCTTGTCTCCCAAGTCGCATACGGTCAGGAGAGACTCTTAATGTTCGCCAGTCGAGACAGAATGTGCTCAGACAGTTAAACGCAATCCATATTTATTTCAGGTCAACACTTTATCCTCACAGTGCTTTTTGTTCTCCACTTCTTTTGACCGCTGAGGCTTTTCACTTCTTTTGTTATTCCTCTTTTGAAGCACTTTAATTGAATCTTATTGCGTTGGAAAAATATCCTTGAAATGAAGAGAAAACATTGTTCATTAAAAGTGTTTTTTATCTTTAGTTCCTTTATGAATTAATTACCAAATGCAGTAATGTGGAAGATGCACATTTTCCCTCTTAGGTCTATTTGTTTACCTTCTGAATGATAGTTGGTTGTGAGGCTGTTTGTTCGCCAGTGTTTTCTGCTGTCTTTACAATAAGAATGCATTTACACCAGCCCAGTTTAGTCCACTTTAATTGAACTTCACTTCATTTGTCTAGAAATTTTGGTTCGTTTGGGGAGGTGTAAATGCGCAGTCGAACTCCCAACGGGGACCAAAATGGCGAACTCTTATCCGCCCAAAACGTAGGTCTCTGATGCATAGAAGTGCACTCTGGCGCAATTTGAAGGCAGATGTGAATGCCAAGCAGACAGCAGGCCGCTCCAAAAGTAGGAAGTGAACTACTTTGCAGGGCATTCTGGGTAACAATGACTAATAAAAAAAATCCTTCCAGCACCGGCAGAAATGACTTGTCGTCTTTTATCAAAAACAAGAGAATCCAACCTAACATCTTACACAGCTCCTATTTTTGTTTACTTTAGTGAAGAAGGAAGTTGCACCAGAAGCTGTCTTCTTGGTGCAGCGCCCCCACAGGCAAGGAGGGGAACATGTTTGGTTCGTTTAATGCAGGAGCTGAAATTTTGTTCAATTTGGGCCTAAATTGAACACGTCTACTGGACTATCAAGTGTGAAAACACCCTGATATTAACTCGATTTATGAATTGGGTAACCTCAGATTTGTTTGCGCATCTAAAAATGAAAGGTGGCCAGCTTTTCCTTTCAACCACTTTTGAAAGGAAAAGGTGTGCTGCTGAAAAAGTAGATGTACTACTTTTTCAAATCATTTTCAAAAATACTTTATTGATCTTAAAGCTGAATTAAATGTGGTTGTTACGCATATTAATTCAAAATTCTTCAAAGTTATTGTAGATGGTGGTGGCTATCGGCAGGAAAGGTCTCCTGTAATGGTCTGTATTGCACCAAATATTTTTTTTTAATCTTTTTTACTTTGTGTTGGTCTACTAAATGAAATGTTCATAAAATTCATAGGATGTGAATACTTTTCCAACATTAAAGTTGCCATCTGTGTCACAAAAAGAAATTCCCAGGTTCTCTGTTCCTGCTTCATCCTTCATGTTGATTTCAACTGGTAAAGCTTTATCAGTAAGTGCGCCTGAGGAGAGTGAAACCTGAAAGCAGAGCCAACGTTTCCTGTGAAGATGGAAGCCGGCGTGCTCCACCGACCGCAGAACCTCAGAGAGTGAGTCACGCTGTTGTGGGAAGCTGAGGATTGTGGCTGCCGTCTGGGCCGATGATTGGCAGCTACCGCTGTCCAAATGTGCCGGCGTTGTTGTGTGTGAGCAGGGAGCTGCTTCCCTGGCTTCCTCTGAGTCCGCTGCGTGGATGTGGTACCATGACATCACATCTGCTGTTCACGTTTGATATTACAAAATGCAAAAAGTCCTCCAGCCAAGCAGTTACCTCCTGGTGTGCTGCTGCTTGGGGGGGATTATTGATGGCGGCGTTTAGTCTCGAGCCAGAGATATTTCCAACTGTTTCCTGCTCTCAACAAACACATAGAATTGTAGAACATTATGTAAATTATCATCTGGTCAGCCCAAGATTGTAGGTGGTGTAAAATCTGATCACTGTTTCCATGCCAGGTTGGCCCAGATACAAAAAAGAATCCTGAATTAAAAAGCTTCCAGTGGTGAAATGGTGCTTCAACCAAACTTTCTAGTAAGCTTTTTTTATTATTATTTTAAAAAGAGCAGCTCCTCTATGCTTTGGAGATTACTCACTATCAGGTTTTTTGATCTTGAATCCAATCACTCATGACGGCCAAACACTGCCGATCACTAGAGATCGATCGATTAGTTTTCAGACATTATCTGTCTTATATTTGAAAGTTTTAATACGTACTATGTAAAATCTTGTTTGTTTTAGTTATATGCTTCAGCTTCGCCGCCAGGTGGAGGTTGAATGGCGCTATGTCTGTAGCAGCGTAGTGGCGCAAAGCCAGCGCCTTTCCCACCACTGCTGCCCCGAAGACTTAAATTATTTTTGGGATTATTTGTTTACCTTTCTGACTGTGATGCTAATCTGGTTGAGTGTTGGTAGTTGTGCGCTGCTTTACCTCTTGCCTGATCGCTCCAGATGTCCTGTTTTTCTGCATTGAGTCTTGATGTCGCCAAACTCCGTCAAGTGTTTGTTTTATATTAGATTCGTTGTGTTGATGCATCGAGACGCGCTTCAGCCCCGAGGCAATTTTCCGTCACAACAGGCAAACTTCTCCATTCACTCTGAGTGTTGAAGTTCCTCACCTCCGTTGAAGTTACTGCGTGTTTGCGCAGTGTGACGGAAAGAGGAGATGAGCTGCACATGCAAGCTCATCTGTGAAGTGACATACAGGTGATCGATTTCTGTGATCGGCAACACAACACCGTGATCGGCGATCACCGATCATCCACTTTTTCACGGAAATCGACCGATTATGATCGGTGGTCGATCGATCCGCACACTTCTCTGGTTACTTGATTATGCTAAAAATGGAACTATGTGCCTGGAAAACGCTTCTTTTTTTCCACTCAGCTTTTGGTGTTGGTTTTAATGTTTGAATTGTTTCTAGTGTTGTTTTAAAGTTTCACATAAAGTTGCATTGTATCGCAAAAAATTCCAGTAAAATACACTGAGCTTGTTGATTGCGATGAGTCAAACATGGTAAAAACATCTGCAAGGTGCTGTGATGTAGAAACCCACATTTTAATCTTCCTTCAGTCACTGCTGGTTCAGGGAGGAGCCTGGTCACACAGGTTACCAGCTTAACACTCACCAGCAGGCAAAGGGAGAGAGAAGCCAACCATGTAACAAGGTTTTGAATACCACATAGAAATTATTATTATTAATAAGTTCCAGAATGACTGACAGACACTTGGAGATCATCCCGGAAACAGGTGTTAGTGTGCAGTAATAGCTCCTGTTCCTCTGATCCTTGTCAGTAAATGAACGCAAGACATGGAGAAATGACCAATGAGTATCAACAGCATCTGTTCCTTTGTTGTTTGTATGATCTATGAATTCTGGTAATAGTGAGACCTCGGTAAAAGGGGCATTTTGGCAATACGGACAGTTTTTTTGTTGTTTTTTTATGTCTGCCCTTGATGTGAACCTTGCTGTGATGTAATCTCCTGTTCGAATGGCCTTGGAAGAACGCTACATTGTCCTGAGA